TCTTAAAAAATCAATAAATTTTCATAATAGCCACAAAACCAGATCAAAAACACAAAAAAAAATATATAAAAAATCATTATTTTAACACGGCGCACGAACTTTTTCCTCAACCTAATTTTTTACTGTTAACATGTAATATGCGATAAGGCTGCAGATAGGGTGCTTTTCATCCGACAGTGGTTTTGCGGATTCTGACATCCTTTGAATATTTGGCGTTTTTCTTCGCAAAAACTTTGTCTAATTGAACAAAAAACACGGTATTCGTCACCAGCATCGAATTCTGCATCGGTTGATGTATAAATAAGCCAAAAAGAAAAGTGTGCTCGAACTTTGAATTACTTGAACCTTACTAAGCAATATTAATACAATTAATTAAAGCAGTTTCATTTACTATTTTATTTACAAGCTACATGAAACAGATAGTTTTACAGTATTAATACATTTACCATATTGAATGAATTCTTGATAATAGTGTTGTTTCTTTCCTCGTACGTTTTTGGAAATATTTTTAAATTCATCAACTTTTTCTTGAATTGGATCTGTTGAATGTGAATGATCTGTTGGTGAATGAATGACTGGGTCATCTTGAGATAACACAATTGTACTATTATAATTTTTAAATCGAGAATGGCACTCAGCTGTTGATTTATTTGAACGTTTTTTTGGTGTATTGATAATCATTATAATTAAGAATTTGTCTACCATGTTGTGTTTATGTATGAAACATTTTATTATTTCCACAGAAATGTATGTTGAATAAGTGCATAAAGTAATATTCAATAGTGCCCATAAGGGCATATAATAGTCCCATTTATAGGCTATGAAACAATGTATCGGTTAGACGATCATTCATGAGTACAAATGATTCTTTTAAATTTAAGTTATATAATAAAATAGTAAATGAAACTAATACTGTTTCAATTAATTATATTCCTATGAGATTCTTTTTTACCGACTGAAACGGTGTCCAAACGTATGTAAACGACGAAATAACAAAAACGCTTTTTGTATATCGGTTAAACGGCGTTTCAAGCATCAATTCAACGCATTTCTGTTATTTCGTCGTTTACACGCGTTTGGACACCGTTTCAATCGATAAAAAACCCTCTTGGGTTAATATTGATTAGTATACAGGTGACAGAAAGAAACAGAGAGTTATAAAATAAATAACATAATAGAAAATATAAGGGACAAAACGGGAGTGAGACGAAACAAGTGTAAGATGAAATGAGAGAATCCTATACGGTAGCATGGTCAATAATGCAAAGTCACGTTAGATATTTAACGCCGGTTGAGTACATGTGCTACTGACGAACACAAGAGTATATGGTTAATCAACTGGGAATCCATTTTCAAATTTGAGCTCAAAAGGAGGACATTCTTCTAATTCAATCGTAATCCCAGCGTGCAGACGCTGGATAACCTTTACTTCAAATATACAGCCAGGAATTATGAGTATCTCTTTCTCAAATGAATATTCTGATATCTTTGTAATGTCAAAAGCTGAACGTTCATTACGAATTTTATAGATGCACAATCCTGACATCTTCCCATCATCATATGTTTTTGATGATGATGCGAATCCTTCAGCAACTTGTTGATCTGTTGAGGTCGATAGAAAAGCTTTGTTTATTACACGAGTGCCAATTGGATAGTGTGTTAAATCGTCGTCACTAATTTTCATCCCTCGATTCGTATAACCCTTGAATACGTATGTATTAAGAGATGGATGATTACACATAATATCAACGATGCGAGACAGTCCATAAGAGTTATGTTCTTTTGTTTCTTCAACTAGTTGATTGTTAAGAACTCGGTAATATTCTGTTTCGGCCGTGTACGCTTTGATTACATAGATTGCATTATCCTCCTCACGAGCTTTATTCATGAACCATCTAATCAGATCAATTCCTTTAATGTTATAAATACTTTTGTCTAAATAATCCTTGACTATATGATTTACGTCACCGTCAACGCTCGGATTATTCCATGTATCAGTGCTATACCATCGTTTTTGAGCTGCACGCTTTTCGTCACCTGCATCAGCCTTAGTCCATTCGGTTTTTGTATCATTACCTCTGAATCTGTATTGATCAGATATTGGACGATAAAATAATCGTTTGATTTCGAGTGTTTTTGCCTAGAATAGTTGCACAATAGTTACACTATGGTTAGACTACACAGATAATTATGATGAATCAAGTAGTCTGACCACGGTATTAATCACGATTAAAGTTACTCTTTATTAAATTTTTTAATTTGTATTTGTCCGCTTTATGCCCATAGTTAGATAAAAGTACGCTTCTATCGAAAAAAAGATCAATTCGGCTATGTTTCTCTGATTGTTCAACTGGAATAATTAACTAATTCGGGCAGTGTTTTACTAGAATATTTATTTATCATAATACTTCGAAAAATAATATATTTAATCTATTGTACGAGCTAAGGATTAGTGAAGTTTCTAATCGCCTCAAAAACAGAATATTTTGAGGATTATCCTTCTAAACAAACAGTCTTTTTGTCAACTAACGATTTTTTTACGATTTCTGCATTCTTTAGAGCTGTTCTCTAAAGTTTATTTTTAAAGGTTGGTACTTTTACTGAAAACGACTACACAAAGTGATGAAATAAACTAAAACTAAATAGATCGTGATGCAGTTGTGAAAAAATTCACCATTGAAAACAATAAGCGGAATGGCTATTACTACCTTCAGAAGGTATCAAAGTGACTGTTGTCATCTTCTAACCTTCTACTAAGCTAGAAAGTGGCAACAAATGTTAGTGACACCTTGGGAGATGCTAATAACGGCACCCACTAATAATACCGGCATGTCACTAGTTGAAAAACGTTTTTTGAACACTCTAGTAAAACTTGTTATAACCAAGGCCTTCACTTCTCGAAATTTTCCAGTAAGATCGTGATTCAAGATCTTGAACATTTTGTAATTTTTTGACTTCTTGTACCAAGATCCTGAAAATTCTTGAATCATCGTTTTGTTTTACACTCGTGTATAAATATAAGGGCAAATATTTTCATACTTAGAATAACTTAGAATGTTTTTCTTTCTTGACCATAGGTGTTAAGGAAGAATCTATGACTCTATATGGTCGTATGTTCAATGGCTATGACTGTCATAAATAAAAACAAAATGTAAAGCAAATTTTTCACTCAAGCTCTCGCAAGATCTTTTAAAAGTGGAAGTTCAAGAGTTCAAGATCTTGGAACATCTTGGCTTATTCACTCAAGTTCTTGGCCAAGATCTTGACTGGAGTAAACGAAGATGTTTCAGGATCTTGAGTGTAAGATTTAAGAATCCAAGATCTTGTGACATTTCGTAACCCATGATCATGGGTACAAGATGTTTCAATTACAAAAAGTCTTCTATTCTCATTAAAGCATTTTCTTTTTCTGAACAGATTGATTAAGATTACTGGACATTTCGATCTGACTTACAAAAAATGAGCTTCTTTACACTGTGTACTGACAGTCCGATTCATTTTAAACTACGATGGACTTAAATCATGATTATTTCGGTCATACATATTTTTTGATCGCAATTCAATATTTTTTTCATCATGATTAAAAAACTCTTTGTCAGACATAGAAGGTTTCAATCATGATTATCTGCATAATCTGGCTGTAGTGTTAAATTGAATTAGAAATGAATGGAAATTCTAACTTACTTCATCAGAAGCTGTAAATCCAAACCTATTTCTAGTTGATCGAATAGCTTTATCCGTTTTGAGGATTTCTTGAACAATGGTCGTATGACCGTTATATGATGCGGCATGTAGAGCTGTGCTACCATCTGAAGTATCCAAAAAGTATATAACAAGTAACACTGTTATTCGATTAAAGGAGACACAAGTTTTCAATGTGCGTGATCTCTTACGAGGGAACCCCCTGAGGTGCTAAAAACCTTTTTGAATGGGACTATTTTTAAAATGTAGGCCCTCATGGACTATGAAGAACCCCAACTTGGTTCGGGCGTAATCAACTTTGTTGCTAAGATATCGAATTTTTACTCGAATGTCTGTCCATTTTTCTTGGGACCTGCATTTCAAGTAAAATCAGAGTTTTGAATTTCATGTTGAAACTTATCACATATTGTAGCCCAGACCATTTGTAGTCGGATGGAAAAAGGTCGAGCTAAAAATCTCTTTCCTCTGCGGTGAAAGAATTCTTTCAAAACTTTCTCCATGTTTTACCTTTGGTACCTATAGGGAAATTCAAGTAAAAATTCGATATCTTAGCAACAAAGCTGATTACGCCCGAACTAAGTTTCCTAGACCTATTATTTTTATAAATACTTATCGGACCCTTATATGACTCTTATTAAGTTCGTATATAAGTGTGATAATAGCGATGTCAAGTTGCAGCCTGTCTTACAATGAAGCAATTTTGACCTTGTTTTTCTGTACAGTCGCAGGGTTGATATCTAGGTTAAATATACCATATGAAAGAATAGCTTGAGCAGTACAAGTGTCGATACTTCAAATTTGTCCTACTACTTGTACAGGAGCAGGCCGGCTGTCACAATACAGCCGAAAATGCAAATGTGGCACTCAGTATTTCACTTCGTCTGAAGGCAAAACAAAACAAAAAGTTTTAGGATCTTTTGATCCGTTGAAGAGCCTTTTATAGAAATAGCCTGCTAAAAATTATAGATCACTGATCAAGTTCTTGTAAAGTAATTCTCAAGTTCCTATAAGTCTCGTCCAGAATAATTACCACAATCGTGGCCGAACACTATATACGAACGTAATAAGAGTCATATCAGGGTCACACTTGACACGAATATAAGTGATATAAGCTTTTTATACGCCCCTAGTCAGTAAACTGTATAAGATTTGATGTCTAGGATTGAGGTTCTTCATAACCTACGAGGGCCTATATTTTAAAAGTAGTCCAATTCAAAAAGATTTTTAGCACCTCAGGAGGTTCCCTCGCTAATGAAACGCCTTTAGAATAGAAATCAGTGGAACACACCTCATTTCAATAAACATTCACCGTCTTTGATCGACCGTACGAATACTTACTATCAGTCGATTTTTTCAAACTTATACTAGATTCGTTTAGTGTTAACACCTCTGAGATCATCATTTTCCTGGAGGAGTGAAGGATCAAACTCCTCAGTCAAAAACATCACATACTTGGCTCTAGACGATTCATGTCCTCGATTCTTATTGTTTTCAGATGATTTTGAACCATGTCAACAGCACCATTTCGACAGGCTACATAAAAATCGCTAAGGTTCGATGCTGGCAAATCTCTTGTTGATGGAGGTTTATGTACATTATTCCCCATGCTATCGAATCACGTTCAGTTTAATTATATAAAATATTGGAGAACAGAAAGGTAAAAAGCACTTCATAGTTTGTTAAAGAACAGATTGGTTGTGATGAATTTTCTTCGAAAAATGAAAGAATATCTTTCTTTCGTTCTACCATGACTCTGTTTACCATTGAGTTGTAAGTTTTAATGCAAAGTAAATATCATAATACATTTTTGAGTCAAAGAAAATATTTTTTATATATTTACGATAATGGTATTAAAAATATTTACGCTATTTTCAATACTAAAATTCTCTTTTCTAATGATAAAATGCAGAAAAAGATTTATTTTTTCAAAGAGACATCAAATGTGATAACGGAGGATGAAGAAAAAAGAGAAGCGCCAGATGTTATACCAGTGTCTACTGATTTTTCTCGCCTGGCGATAGGGAAGCATCGTTACACACTTTTTCAAGTAACCCTCCTATTAATATTGAGCACGTTGATATATCGTACATCATTTATAATATTCAGCAACAATTAAATATGCATGAGGATTTAAATAATGATGATGATTACGAAAACAGTGAATTAAAAGAACGATGGTGAACAATACCGTATAGAGAATGGTGTAGATCATGCGCGATCAAAGGACTCGAAACGGTAAAAACGTCATGAAATAGCGATTGTAGTCTGTTGAACACATAACTGCTATTCTGGACGAACCTCGTTGTGAATGATAAGTGTGATTTTCAGCATGCAAGATGCAGAATAAAGAAAACTATTCCATTTTGAATATCTATGACTGAGAATGTTACTGGAAATGCGAACACCCGCAACTTTCCACGGACACCACCAAATTATGAACTGAGCTAGCCGGTCGATAGAACTCGTCGAACTGACTAGGGAACCTCGCGAACTGTCACATCGCTTTTTCAGCCAAACTTAGCAGACTATAGGTTATAAACTATGCTGACTCCGAATACCATAGAGGTAGCGGCGCAGGCGCCTTTAGATAGTGGTTTTATGAAAAACCTGTTTTTCAGAACCTCTAAAAAGTAACCGAAATCTTTCTTAATGAGGCTCGATTGTAGCCCGCAAATTTTTGATTTAAATGAGATATTTCCTAGCTCTGCACTACCTTTTGTTTGCAAAGTTAGACAATTTACAAGAACAGCTCCAAATGTTTATTGTCAACTCAGCTACAGAAATCCGAAATTAATTTAGAACTTTTCTTGTAAATTGTATAATTTTCCAAACAAAAGCTCGTGTAGAGCTGGAAGATGTCTGATTCAAATCAGAAATTTGTGGGCTACAATCGTGTCTCATTAAGAAAGGTTTTTGTTACTTTTCAGAGTTTCTGAAAAACTTGGTTTTCAAAAAACCGCTCTCTGGAGGCCTCTGGGCAGCTACCACTATGATATTCCGATTCAGTATAGTTGATAACCTATAACCCACTAGATTTGACTGAAAAAGCGATGTGACAGTTCTCGAGGTACTCTCATGAGTGTGGAAATACTAAAAAACTATTTTTATAGTTGTGGTTTTTACGCATAAATCTTCAATAAACATCAACGAACATCCAGAAAAGTGTGCCAAATTCGTCTCTACGTTATTTTAGGTCTATTAGTACTATTTCCAACCAGAAAAAAACACCTTTAAAGATTTTTGAAAAAATTAATCATTTCAGATATGACAGCACTTTTAAAAGAAGTCAATTTTTTATCCACAAACACTCAAAAACGTGTGCTAAATTCAACTGTAGATTTTTCTGAGCTTTATAGTTATGTCATATCTGGCAGTTGAATGTTTTCAAAAATCTTAAAATGTATTTTTTCCTGGTGAATTTGGCACATATTTTTGGATGTTTGTTGATAAACATTGAGTTCTTTTAAAAGCGGAAGTAAGCTCCGAATCGAACTTTTGAAAGTACCAGTTGATCTGAACTAGGCATGCAGCGGTAACGATAATTTATCGGTTTATCGTTATCGTTTTATCGTATCTTACCGATTGTCGGTTAACCGAGTATCTTTTCTTACCGATTGCCATTATCATAGTTATTGCTTCTTACCGATAAAACCGATAAGTTTCTGACGTTTGCTAAGAGAAATCACAATAGAAAAAGTGAGTTTGTAGCAAGGATAAACTTATCATCCTTTTTTTTCCTTTCTTTCTTATATCAGAGACCTAGCAAATAAGAGATATCCTTTCTTGCATATAGAGGCGTATATATATGACTCTAGTTCAACTTATTCTTTATGACTCAGTCAGTTTTGATCCCAGTTTTCTAAACGAACTACCGTAAGACTCACAAGATTTCGGCCTACTCACAGATGTAAAAAAACACAACGGAATCTTCCAAAGGACCCGATCAAAGTCAGCACATTTTTTGTTTGAATAATATTAGCATACGTCATTGCCTTTGAGCGAGTCCTTTGGAAAGTTCCAATGTGGAAGTCTTGAACATGGAAGTCTTGAACAACGTAAATAGAACGAAATCTTGTGAGTATTACGGTAGCACTTTTATAAAATTTGACCGATAATCGACAAGACGATAATCGGCAAGATGATAATTGGTAAGAAACGGCAATCGATTAACCGATAATCGTTACCGTTGCATGCCTAATCTGAACGCGATATAATTTTCTTCATTCTCTGACGTATTTAGGCTTTCTTAAGCAGAATTGCTTAAATATGAAGAATCCTTTTGTAGAATAACTGTATTCAACACACTTATTTAGGGGATTGTAAAGTCGACGATTTCGGAGGAAAATTGAAGTAAACGAGAGAGATAAATGAAAGTAATATTTTTTGTTTTATTAAAAGTAAAACGTCGAACCAGAAAATGAACCGAACAGATGAATAAATGAAATGTTGTTTCTTTTTGCTCGGTGTTTAGTTTACCTTTATAGCCACTCAATCAGCTCTAAGACGTCGAGGAATGAAAGTTTTTTATCTTTTTCTAATTCAAACGTGAATTTTAAATTTTTATTTTTCTTAAAAACGTATAAACTTACCACATAACATAGTCGTTAAAACCAGAAGAATGCAAAAAATATCAGACTAAGCAAGAAAAGGATTTTAAGTGCTTCTAGAAAAATATAAACTTTTTTACAAACATTCTTATGCAGTTACTTTTTCTTTCTACTCTCTGTGCACAACTTTGTCACATGTTATAACTTATACAGGCATTTAAACAAAGCGGCGTGTATAAATTTCATATCCTACTTCTTGATGTCTATTGAATTAATCAGTC